TAACAATCAAGCAAGGACACAGGAACAAATTTAAGAATTATTTTTTGCCAGGCAAAATAATGAACCAGTTTCTCTATTTACATAGTTCAATAATAATGAAAATTTTAACTAACAGGACAGCAAAATATAATATTTTTAGCTTTTCTCTGCTTGGTACTGGTTTATGGTGCAGATAGCCTAAATGTGTTGGTGTTAATCCCAACAGCTGAAACACAGGTTTCTGATTTAAGAGCGGTCAGTGAAAGCAATGTTCTCGAATACTAAATGACCAAACACATGAGAAGGGAGTGAGATTTTTCTGTTTCCCAGTTGATGGGCTGGATGTTAGCCGACGTTGTGGACCCTCACATGACGACATCTGATAAAGGGCTCTGCTGCTTTTCAAACAGCCTGAAGCTACTTTAACAAATAGTTTGTGGTTCACTTTCCACACACCCACATAAAACGTCTTCTGTGGCTCAACACAAACATACAACAGATTTGTTAAAAGGTACCATTTGCAGTTTTTATTGTGATAACTTATTTTGTGTCTTGCTGAGGTTTGTTTTATGATAATTAAATTTAATTTTATGTTGTGTTACTGATTTATTTGCTTTTTCTTTTGTTGTGTTTACCTTTTCTTTGTACAGCACTTTGGTCAATGTTTTGCTGTTTTAAATGTGCTCTATAAATAAAATTATTATTATTACCATAATGATACTTTATTGTAAACAAACATATGTTTTTGTGCAGAACCATTCATGTCCTTTTGCTATATGAAGACAAAAAGGTTTTACACTGAGCTTAAATTCCCAGCAGCTTTTTCCACTTGAAGTCGGGAAACCTGACCTTATTTCTCTCCAGAAGACTATTGTTTTAGATAATAAACCCAAATTCTGGCAGTAATTAACATCCTGTGCCCTCTGCTGATTGCTAACTTTAATAACAGTCAGAGAGTGATGACTGGCCTTAGGTGCAGAAACTGATTAATCTATTGAGAGTTACATAAAAACACAAAAGCCCATTATACAATATGTGACTTTTGTATTTTAGTGATTTAAGGATTAGTCAATTACTCATTTAGACAATTACAGAAAATTCATCTGCAACTCTTTTGTTTGCAGATCAATTTGCTAATTAATATTTCAAACCAAATGACAAATATCTCCTGGTTACAGGAGATGTGAAAATGTTTTTGTCTTGTAAGCTAACACCATATTTTTGCCTTTAAGACTGAGGTATGAGAAAATATAATTTGCATTTTTTCCATATTTTCTACTATTTTATAAACTAAATCAATAACTAGAAAAAGCAATGAATCACTAGAATTCATTGTCTAGCAGTCATTGTTGTCTGACCAAGTGAATTACACCATAACTGACCAATAAATAAGTTTATTTTGGCCTGTTTGGCCAAAATAAGCTTAGATTGTCAATGTTTCTGTTGAAGTTTTTGTTTTCAGAACCATAAATGGACTGTATTTTTTCATATATATATATATTAACTATCCCTAATCGCAAACTGTCAAAATCTCCACAAGGTACCATAACTATCCCTCATTTTTTCCAAAATGAGGGATAGAATAAAGTCACACCAAAATTACAATAATAAACACAAGTGTATCTGACAGAATGGCAGCAAAAGGACTAAGAAACTGTACTGAAAAATGACGACTTCAGGCAGTGAGTTTCATTACAATATCAATCCCCAGTGATCTGAAATAAAATGCTACTTTTAGTTGTTACAGGGCAGCATCAAACTCACCAGAGTGTGTCAAACAAAAAATGCAGACACTAAAAAGACTGTTATATAAATGTAACAAGTATAAAAGATCTCTGTCTATTAGGTGAAACCCAGCCAGGCCTGAGCAGAATGACTGTCAACATTTTTTCTGGCCCAGCCCATGTGATGTGGTGTGAGGCACGCTCAAAAGAATGCCGGCACACTAAGGGTTTCCCTTGTATCGCTGCTATGGCTCTGTGCGGTTTACAAAGCAAACCCAATGACGCAAAGTACCATCTGAGAGGTGGGGTCAGGGGTGGAGGGACAATACATGCCCCCTGGGAGAATTACAAGGGCCTCCTGCTAAAATTTATTTATATCAAAGAAAATCCAAGACAGCAGAAGAGTCTTTAGTGAAGTCACGTGTCAAACACCTCAGTGCAAGGAGCATAAACTAACAATCATAACTCTGTGGCAATACCTTTCAGCCAAAACACTAAATATTTTTGGTTAAGTTAGAGCGTGAATTGGGTCGCGTATTTCTGTCTGAGTTTAACCCGTGCCTGAGAGTGTAGCATCCAAACCCGACCTTGACCCGACAAGGTTACAGTATTATAATGTCCAAACCCGACCCAAGCCCCACACAGCTGAGTTTGTAGTGTTTTTGCCCCTTTTCATTAAACAAAGCAGACATTTGGGTACTCCAGCCATCCAGCCTAAAGTTTGACCTGCGTGTCCGAACCCGACCCGAACCCCAACATAAGTTCTAGATTTCTGTCTGAACCCGGCCTGAACCCTCGGGTACCAACAAGTCGGGCTCGGTTCAGGTATCCACACTCTAGCTTAGGTACAAAGATATTAGTAACCAATTCTAAACCTTGTTTTCCCTTAATAATTTACATTTTTTATTACACCAATCAGCACTGAAACTACTTTTTAGCTGCAGTTACAGTCTCTTGCATCTTGATAAACAAACAAACAACGATGACCAGCTGCATTCCCTCTACGTTAACCCAACAGAAAATCCAATGTCCACACATTGCTTTCTGGAAAACAGTGGAAAAAAAAACACAGTGACTGGCATGTGCCAAAAATATTACCAAAACAAAACCCAGACACATCAACTGACTCCCAGTCTGCCATCCATGCAAAAAAAGACACACAATGACACCATCTCCTGTTTTGCAAACAGTCAATATAGCAAGTCAGAGAGGTTATTTTTAACACTTTATCTCTCCATCTTGCTGTTCATTGTTTTCCAAATGTATGCACTGATACCAGCATAAACAGTAAACATCTTTGAGATAATGGTCTGCAGAGGCCACACAGTGAGAAATACTTTTATGTCACTGATGAATAATTGATTTGTGGTACTGAATTAAGTCAATACAATGCTGTGGCAGCTGTTTTTTTTTTGGAGACACACAGAGAATGACAACTCTCCCCCTCAGGTTACAGCATTAAATATTCAGCCCATACCTTTGCATAATTTACCTTGTCAACCTACCAAGGAAATGACAGGAAGTAAAAAGGGGGAACACTTGGAGTTTCATGACAGGAAGTGAGAGCTCAGCACAAATCCAGGACATTTTAAACAGACTCCTCTTTAGGCAAAGTGACGCTGAAGGCTATTTTACTTATATGCAGCAGCTCTGTTGAGGGTATGATGCAAGTGAGCTCCCACAAACCAGGCAACTAATTGTATAACACACACCGGTCTAATAGCGTTGATGGCTTTAGGCTGGCTGTCTGATGCTTATTCCAGTTTCCGACACCGAAATGTTTCAGGGGCATCTTGACTTTGTCAAAAAACTGACCAGCAAGTTGCTTGCTCTTGAGCGTAATGATCTTCCTTGCCATGTGATCTCTGCAGAAATTCCAGAGGAGCTACCAAAGCCCAGCGCACATGGTGGACCTTTCTTACAGATGGTTTTCGTTTGTGCTGCTGCAAGCTCTCGGTTCAGAGGCGCTGAGCCAGAGAGGTGATTCATGATGCAAGCCTTCAGAGCCACATAGTGTGCTCTAAGTTGGGAGTAAACATGGCCCTGGCTCTGTTCTGGTGGGTTTTATGTTGCTATGATATAATAAACTCGTAAATGACTGAAGCTAGAAGTGATGGATGAGACCGACTGAGCTGTAGTAGCTGGTAGTGCATGGAATGGAGGAGGAGGCCTGTGTTTTTCCCTTTAAAAAAAACATCTCAGATGATCTGTACAGTTTTTTTTTAACCTACAAATAAACATAAATTTGTCACTTTAAACTGTCATAAATGAATAGCTGGGTAAACAGTGTTTCTCTGATTTACATGACACTGTGAGCCTGGTGTCATTCATGTCTGCAGCTAATGTGTATTAAAGTGGGAAATGAGGTCATGTTCTGGCATTAATGGACAGCAGTAGAGGTGTGGGCTTTCATGAAAGGATGTCAGCAGAGGGTGATGGTGGGGGTGGGAGGTGGGAAACACACACAAAACACATTGTAACCCACCTGCCTCACCTGATTACACTCCTCCCACCTGATCAAAGGTGACACAGCATCACCGAGTGTGAGTCTGGGTGGGTTTCTGTGCTGTATTTCACTTTGTCATGAAGAAATCTAAAATTTTAAATGCACTCTGGCCTGTGTGAGAGAAGGGAATCTCTATAATCCTGAAACAGTTAAACCCAGATCTGACTGCCAACAACTAGAAGAGGTTTATCTCTCTCTGTGACACATCCACTGCTACAGCCTGGCAGCATGCTCTGAAACTGTGAGTTATGTAATAGTGAACGCAGAACTGCAGGCCTGAGTGCACATCCTCCTATTCCCTGCACTCTTCTACCAAAGCCATCCACCCCCTCTATTATTACTCTACATATAGTATCTGGCAAGAAGGAGCAGCATATTCCAACACACAAGATTAGAGTTCACCTCCACACACTAGCTCTTCAAAACAGTCTCTATGTGTGGGACGTGTCAATTTTTGCATCAGGATATTTACCTAGGTGTGAAAACTGCATTTACACACAAACTGGAACTCAACAGGTGCCTCAAATTTCTTTTCTGGAGGAGGGATCTACAACATAATCGTGAACGAATCTCTGATAGGATTTTGGAAATGCTGTCGATCATAAATTTAGGGGTAATTACATATAGCCTAGGCTGTTTATAAACACATTACCACCTTAAAACTATGTGCGTGTTTATTAGTATGTGTCTTTTATATTATAATCTATTCTGATTGATTGTATTGAGGCATTTCAATCATCCATCCAGCTTTCCATCCTTCCACTGCAGGCAGACGGACACCGTGGCCTTACCTCCTCCAGCACATTCACCGTGTTCCTGCAGCTCTGAAGTCGGGTGGTGAAGCTGGATGTCGTCGGGGAATTGTAATCCTCTGTTGTCTCCGACAGAAACTCGGACACCGATATTTGATCCGGCATCCTTTCACGGGGAAAACGCCCACAAGAGGGTTGGCGATGAATTCTCAGAAAGACAAAACCATGTAAGACTTAAAAAATAGGAAGAAAGCAGGGGGAGCCTGGTGGAGGGAAAGCCGATTTTCCTCGCAAAACTATCGAGATGATTAAGACGCGTCTTCTTCTCCCGTGACTTCTCAAATGACTTCACTGCTCCCCAGGGGACACGGGAGGAGGGAATTACCTAAATTTCTACAGGCTGTGTCTTCTTGGTGTGTCTTTTCTTTGAGAGGATGTCTGAAAGCCACGTATTTATAAACAGTATCACTATGAGTCTAACTGAACAGCGGAGGAAAAACCATCGTGACGAATAGCAGATGCCCTCATTAAACTCTACAGATGTTCAGCAAGGCGCCTGGCATTAAAACTGCCCGCAGTTACCAGCCTTTGCTGAAAATGTATCATAATCCGTGGTCTACCGAGGTCGTCTCGATCTGCAGCGCGGTTTGGTCCTCTCTTTTTCACCCGAAGTTCACGTTTTTGACGCTAACGGTTGCCGCAGACATACCCGACTCTACCTTCTGCCGCTCAGAGCTCAAGCTAGCTGGAAAGAAAGACATTACTTCCCTTCAAGGTTTTCAAAATAAAAGCCAAGATTTTATTTTTGCAAATATTCAAATAAACGTTTTAATAATTTATGTTTCAACTGGGGTTAAATAAATAAAAATATGCATGGATGGCTTACCGGGCGGTCAGGGGGCTCTTGGCCCTGTGTCTCTACATATTTATTGATTATATAACTGTACCCTAAAATTTAATTTCTACCATGAGTTGCATGTACCTTTTTCTACATTTTCAGGGTTGCCCAGGATGATATGGCTAAATGACATTTTTACAAATTAACCACAAAGTTAGAGATTAATATATTATTTCTCATATAAAGTAAAAAATGAATTGTACCTCAATGTTATGGTTACATACACGCTTGAGTAAATGTACTTGGTTAATACACTTCAATGTCAGTCACACCAAAGATAAGAGACTGTTTTATGCTGACTGGGTATGCTGATACTGGAAGATGATAGGTTCCGCTTATGGATATGCATGGACGTTTTGTAAATTCATTGTAGGTTAATATAATAACAATTTATCATTTATAACAATTTATTAGAAGTTTAAAAAAACGTTAGCATTTAGTTTCTAGTGATATGTCAGACTGACTTCACAATGGACACAAACAGCAGCGAAGAAACTAGTTGTACAACAAAAATAAGGCTCTTGTCAAGTAGACTTTTACTAACTTATTTTGAAAACAATCACCGGTTCTCCGGTATTACACAGTTATTAGTGGTAGTTTAACGCAATTCTTTCTCTCTCTCTCTCTCTCTCTCTCTCTCCCTCCCATCTACCTCGCCATACGGCGCATGCGTCATCTGGAATCAGCGACAATAGGCTTAAGGAGGAAAATTATTTACAGAAGAAAAACAACAGTTATGTTTCATTTCCTTTCGTTTAAGCGACATTTTGCGGAAATACCAGGCTTCTGCCGGTCTCCGACTTTCACACATCATCTGAGCTGTAGGTATTTTCAGTAGACCGGGCCTGTCTGACTTTCACTTATGGATGTCCTCGCCACATTTGATAACCCAATACTTGTCTTTGATGATAATCGGAGGTGGCAAGTAACTAAGTACATTTACTCAAGTACAATTCTGAAGGCCCTACTTTGGTGGAGTATTTTCATTTTGTTATTTTTGCTTTTACTCCATTACAGTTTACATGGAAATAGTGTACTTGTAATTCACTACATTTATTTGACAGTTTTACTTACTTGTGGATTAAAATTTATAGTCCAAAATATAACCAAACAATAAATGATGTATTATAGATTAACCTCCTGGCAGTACATAAAGTGATTACATTTCATCTCCGCCCTTAGCAGCTGTGCAGTTCTTGTTCCACACCAAGTCATTATATGGTAACACAGACCTTGGTTGGATTGTGTTTTTCTTTAATTACTAGAAACTTTTCTTTGTGATATTTTTCACCTTTGAAAGCTTGTTGAACAAATGTGGACTAGACTTGTACACATGTTATCAACACCATCAAATTCAATAATATTTAAAATACTTTTCTAATTGGGGTACTTGTACTTGAAGCTCATTTTAAAGCATGCACTTAGTACTTCAATAAAGAAATTTAAGTGGTACTTCTACTTCTAGTGGAGTACTGTTTTTGGAAATACTATGACTTTTACTTGAGTTTGTGTACTTCTACCAGCTCTGATTAAAATGCCAAAACTATAAGGAACAGATTCATGTCCATTGTAAAGCAAACACACTGAAGTGTCATAACTTCATTCTAGGTCAATCACTGATTAGTTGGTGAAAGATTAAACAAAATAAATGTTTATTTGTTTTTAAAAGGCAGTAAATAAATCCTAGTGTGGGCTAGCTTACATCATATCTCCCTCAGCATGTTTATGTCTGTATCAAATTTTAGGCTATCACAAAGAAGTGACTCCAAGATCTGAGTTCAGAGGGTGTAGCAGCAAATAAACCCCAGCAAGTGGTGACAGAGCTTTTCACAGCCACTCAATGTGGATAGATCCCTTTGGACAAAAACTGACTCAACATATTGAAATAAAAATTAAAGATAAAGTCCTCCTCATACTGATGGAACACAGATCATGTAACTGCACACTCTGAGCTCTGTGCTTTCATGGGCAATCATGACTGCTGAGAAATACAAGTACTGGCCAGACAGCAGAGGAAACACACATGAAGGCAGGAAGAATCTTCTCTCATTATAAAGTATACCCCAGTATATCTTCACCTACACCACACACAGGCACAAACAAGAATCAGTATTTAACAAATGCAAAACTGCGGCTAGATGCCTAAAAAATTTTTTTAAAACACTTCCTGTTTCACACTGTGGACCTGCAATCTGAGGGTGAACTACAATGGAGCACACACAAACTACTAGTAACTGAAATGTAAAACAAACAAACAACAACAAAAAAACTTGTACAACTGTGTTACAGTGTGTGGTTATTTCATTAACATGTAAATGATGTCAGTACCTGAACTGATTAACTGCTAGGTTAAGCTTGGTTAGCATGACAAACTCAGTGCAGTATTGTACAAACATTATAACAAACCTTAGCCATACATTGTATAAATGTGATACAATGATACTTTTTTATGTACACAATCAGAACAGCAACACCTAAATTCTGACAACTTGATGGAACAAAACAGCAGATTTGGAGGGGGCAGGGATCAGCCCCATGACAGGCCTGGATATGGAGGATTCAGTGTCAAATTTGGCATCCAAGGCAGCTAGGGTGGGAGTTGTGCAGGCAACCTGGGAGCTGCAGCTGGTTTCATATGGACTGGAAGTTGAGGTGCCGAAGCTTCAATTCGTGCAGTCATATCTGCGATCCTGGATAAAAGATGTTCCTGCTCATCATTCATCTTCTTCTCAATAGTCTTTGCCACTATGTCCACTTTCCTTTCCACAGCCTGTAACCCAGAGTTGATATTTCCACAAAACTGGTCCAGATTCTTCTCAATGCTCTTCAGCAAAGCCTGGTTGGTCGCCTCCATCTGGGCTTCTATGTCCTCCATGATCTGCTTGTGAGTTAAGGCCACAGCTGCTTTGAGAGCGTTGTGTTGCTCATTAATATACTGCCTCAGTGTATTATGACTTATGAGGAGCTCCTCCCTGGAGCTGACGCCGTCTTCCACCACCTCCATTTGTGAACCCTTCTCCTGCTCAACGCAAGGCTTTTCCTCATTAGACATTGTAGACTGAAACAGATAAATACCAGATTAGTGAATCAACTGGGTGATAATTGTGATAAGCACAGGAACAGGCATTATATGGGGTGTTTTATTCAGGTTTCTTAAATTAAATGTAACTTATTTGTTGTTCTATGTTTTCTTATCAGTATTTAAAATCTTGTAAACTTCTCTATAGGCCACAATAACTCCATTGTTGCTATTTTAAGAGTAAGAATCAATAAAATTATGACTGCATATTTATATTTTCTTTTCCAAATCATTTAGCATTCCACACCAAAAACAACATGCATTTCTGTGGAGTAAGAGTACAAAAGTATTCTCACCAGAACATAATTAAAGTAAAATTAAAACAGCATAAAGGCCTCGGTCACATATGGTGTTCTTGCTGCTGCGTAAACGTCGTTTTGCTTCTTTCTCATGGCGTGTTCTCTCTTTAAGTTACTAAACTGCTGGTAAATAGTAAATCCTTACAACAGCGCATTTTGTCGGGGCAGTGATTATTAGTTACAAAATGCACAAACGTGATCGATTTAGGGGATCCAAAGTAAAAGGTAAACAATAAAATGACCGTAACACTTACTTTTCTCTATTTCAAACTCTTGAGAGCAAAATACCACGTGGTAACGATATGGTCACGAGGAACTATCATACTGCGCCCGGGTCAATATATACACCTACAGCGTGCCCGGAGTGCGCATGCTCTGAGCGCCGTACCTACCCTATTCAACTCAAATGCGCTCATTAAACCCCGTTAAACAATAGTGAGCTTAATGATACCTACCGAAGTTACTCCAAAACACTCATTACATCTAACAAGGCTGCCAACCCTCGAAGATCGACCGACTTGTGGGCATGCAGCAAGCAAACCCAGTAATGCTACTGGTTCTTTGTCCTCATCTACATAAAGTGCATAGTTCTGCTAATAGCGTTTGTCATTTTCAAAATAATGCCACTAATTCATTACTCTGTTGCTATAGAAACAGAGAAGAATGGGACTCGAGCATCACAGCTTTTAGCAATGTGAGAAGACTTTAACAACATTTAAAGATTCATCAGGGAGTTCACAGTGGTGATTCCATAAAGTCTTGACTAATGTGGAAAAGGTTTTACTGCTTCACTTTCCCTAAAAAGACAACAATCACACTGGAGAGAAACCACACAACTGTGTCCAGTGTGGGAATGCTTTTACTGCTGTGGGTCACTTGAAAACCCATCAGTGTGTTCACAGTCTATGGGTTTGATTTGGTTTAAAGTATTAGTTGATTATGTGGGTAATTTTTGACTGATTCATTTGACTGATAAAATGTGTCACATGGAGGGGGTGACGAATCCTATAGGTAGACAGTGGACAGTCGAGGTGGAACCTTTATTAATATACTGTTAGATAGCTGATGAATCTGAGGGATCATGAGGTGATTGATGGGATAGGAAAGAAGAAAAAACTAAATGCTACTTTTTCAGATGTTTCTTTTTTGTTTGCTTGTCTATTAAATGCCATGTGATATGTTTAGAAGGTAAAGTAGTTTCAGTATTGTATTGTTTTGTCAGCATAATACTGTACAAACCCAAACAGGAAGCGCCATCTTGTGGTTATTTTCAGTGTGCATGTGTGTTGCAGTAATCATTGATAGGGTTCTCAGAGGACATCTACTAATTATATTGCTACTATAATGTACAAGTTTTGAGATGATGGGCCTCTGAAAACTGACTGGTAAAAGGCCTCCCCCTCCTCCTACAATGGATCAAGAGCCCCAGACAAGAGACCCAAGATAAGACAGTCATCCATGT